ACCGTCAGTGATAGCTTCAAACTTCGCTGATTAAGATCCACTCGCATATAATATATATATACACACACTGTATATATACAGTATATATACGCACTGTGGTATACATGTTTTGTCAGACTTCTAGTTCCAGTTTGACATTGGACATAGGTTGGCCAGATTGGTAGATCGATTCGACGAGTTGACCTTCTCCTGACGAGTTTTGAAGTGATTGTTGCGGCCTTCAACAACCTTTTTGTACCTCCCTCAGTGTTCAATGGCTCAAGACAAACAAGAGCAGAAAAAGAAAGTGCACTTTGCGTTGCATTTGTTACGATTCTCAAACCAAATTTGAAGAAATACCGTTTGACTTCTTCACCAGATTAGCAAGCAGATTCCAGGCACATTCAGTTGTGCATTCGAAGCTTGATCGCGTTCCCTTTTGGTCCGCCAGCCCATGGGAAACCGAAGTGCCAAGCATTTGTGTGAATCCATCGTTCCAGACCAGGATCCCTTAACGTCGATACCGCTGAGTGGGCGGATTGTGCATGCTGACATCACTCGTGACTTTGATATCAAGCCAACAGTGCTGGGAACAGGATACTCTGGCGCCGTGCGCTTGGCGGAGCATAAACTCACAAAGCAACAGGTTGCAGTGAAGCAATTTAGCAAACATGGTCTAAAGCCTCACCGCCTCAAGCTGTTGAAGAGTGAAGTGGAGGTGTATCTCCGATTGGACCACCCAAACATATGCAGGCTTTTGCATGCTTACGAGGGCAGCAGGGATGTGTGGCTTGTGATGGAGCTATGTCAGTGCGAGCTCTACACCCGTCTCTGCAGGAGCAAGGTCTATTGTGAGGAAAATGCTGCAGATGTCATGCGGCAGGTTCTGCAGGCGATCAACTATTTGCACCTGCACAACATTGTTCACAGGGACCTGAAATTGGAGAATTGGATGTATGGGACCTCATCCACAGACAAGGACCGCTTGAAGCTGATAGATTTTGGCTTCTCGGAAATCATGGCAAGTGATGACACAGTTCTTCAGATGCCTTGTGGAACCCTGCACTACACCAGTCCAGAAGTGCTGAGCAGAAGCTACAGCAGCAAGTGCGACCTTTGGAGACTTGGACTGACAACCCAATATTGGAACAGAACAGGTTGGTCAAGAGGCGGTCACAACAAAAGCAAAATCTAGACGCGATCACAACAAAAGTTTGTCACTCCAACACATTGTGCCCCCCCTCCAAACATTTGCCTTGAGCCTGGGAAAATACAGGCTTTCATTATTGCATTTGACATTCTCTAAATGTTGTGATCCCCACCAAGATAGATTCTTAGAAACGCAGATCACTTTTACTGAATCAATTTTCTAATTGGCTTGCGATGAAGAATTCGTTGGTCTTCCTTCCTTTTGGTTTCCTCTTGGTCTTCCTTGAATCAGTAGGTATCCAGTTTGTGAAGGGCAGATGCTTCCTGCTATGAAGTGACTGTAACTCGAATTGGTGCTCATTGGTGCTTTCTTTGGTTGTTGTTTAAGCGGACCTTGAACTCTTTCCAGTCTATTGTGGGTTCGTTTTCACATGATGCTTGGAGAGTGAACGACAAAGCCAATTGGATAGACATGCGTTGTAGGTTCCAGCCTCTTCATCTTTCTTGGCATATTGAAACTTGCACTTCAACTGCACTGCAGGCTTTTTTGAAAGTTTCAGAACGGACTTGTTTACCCTTGGCCCTTGGCCAACTTGCAAGGAGTGTGGGTGTCATTTGCTATATGTTGCTGGTTGGGCGACCTCCTTTTCGCGGGGCTACAAATTCCAAGATCGCACATGCCATCATGAATGTCGAGTTCCCCAGAGATGGGCGCTGGCAATACTTGTCGCTGGATGCGCAGGACTTCATTGAACGGCTTTTGAAGAAGGATGTTGCAGAGAGAATGAACGCCAGTGAGGCCCTGGAACATCCTTGGCTGAAAGCTCGGAAAACGACCCCTTCTTTGGACATTGGAACTGATGTCTTGAAGAGCTTGAGGACGTTTGCCCAAGGTTCTCATTTGCGTCGAGCAGCTCTGACCATTTTGGCCTATAGTTTGACCTCTGCAGAACTCGAAGGTTTGGAAGAAACTTTTTTGGATTTTGACAGCTCGGGACGAGGCACCATCAGTCTTGAGCAGCTGAAAGAGACCATGCAGTCGCGCTTGCGTGTGTCCTCCGAAGAAGTCGGACGGATTTTTCACAGTTTCGACTCACAGAGTGAAGAGATTCAATATACCCCCTTTGTGGCAGCTTTGCTGGAGACACGGATAGGGCATCACGAGAGCAAGGTTCGAGCTGCCTTCGAAGCCTTCGATGTGGAGGGGAAAGGCTACATTACGGCCGATTCGTTGGTGCATGGCTTCAATCGATTGAGCAAAGGCACGCAGAAGAGTCTCTCCAAAGAGGAAGCGGAGCACTGGATCCGGGAAGTGGACTTTAAAGGAAATGGTGTCGTCAATTACACCTCATTCTTGGCCGCCCTAATGGGAAAGAGTTTGCGCGGATTGCCTTCTACAGAAGATCTTGCAGACCACCCAACCTTGAGGATTTTTGATGACAGCCCGGATGGTGGTCGCCCTCGGGGCTTTACGGAGTCCTTTGCCTCAACCACGGCGAGTACCAACACGGTGCGGCAGCTCCTGAATGATGTTGCAGCTGACACAGACTCAGACAGCAAAGAGGGAAAAGATGGACGAGACGTCAGGGACAAAGATGGACGTGTCAGATCTAGATCCTTTACAGGCTCTGTTGAATGCGCCGAACGAGTGCAGATCCGAAATATGGCCTGCGAAGTAGACGAGCGATACTTTGCATGATTGCATTTTTGCAGCAACTAGGAGCAAAGGGCATCGCTACTAGGAGCAAGGACGCTACAAGGGGCTCCTGGCATCGCTACTAGGAGCAAGGATGCTACTAGGGGCTGCACACAGCACTGAGGTTCAGCAGGCATATTGGTGCAAGTGCCATTTGGCCATTCGGTCAGCTTCGAATTCGCAGAACATGCACAGTTGACTATTGGTTGACGGTGCTTGTGACACCTGCAAGCTTTTCCTGGGCTTCCCTACATATGGATGAGGTGAAGAGCACATGGGAAGGTCGTCTGCCATAGGCACACGGCTTGTCCATTTTGCACCTCATAGATACGTAAACAGATTGCGTCGATGTTCCCCAGGAAATGTACTGTAACTAAGCAGCAGGATTTCATACCCACCAAAAACATATCATTGTTTCATCCACAGCCATTGTGAAAAGCTCCACGATCAAGTGCCGATTGCATTGGAAGCGCCGCATGATACTTGAAGAGATCATGGGAACACCCAAAAATGTCAGACTCTTGCCGCCGCTGTAGACTGCGGCAGAATAAGGTGTGAAGAAGCAAGGGCTTCTCAAGCATCGACATGGCTTGGTGCAGTTGGTACTTACTCGATGCAAGAACACGCGCCTGAAGAAACAAGACTTAGTCTGATGTCTGATGCGAATGCAAGGACACTTACCTTGACACATAAATTGGCTGTTGTAGCTTCGGTAAATGCTCTTTCGATTTCTTTTCAACTTGATTTTGATTGGTTGCCAAGAGGTGTCAGAGCCAACTGCGGTTTCTGAGCTCCCGCTTAGGCCCAAGTAGAGGCTTGATGTTCAAGAAGAAACAAGAATTCACAATTGTCACAATTTCCTTTTCCACAGGTTTGACATGTCGACCTATTGCTGTACACAATTTGTGGTTGCTCGCCATAGACTTGATCGAGTACCAGATGCATTTTGGAGAGTCTCGACAGCATAGACTGTTTTTTGCTGGTGAACTTGCTGAGCTTTGGAGCTTTTGAGTGGAACGTCCAGGCTCTCTTTGGAGCTCCTTGCATCAACGCCTCAGTGCAGCTTGGCCTAAAGGACCCATTGAGATTTGTAAATCTTTTTGAACAGAGGGACATTTAAAGCTTGCCTCCCTCAGAACTGAGGTGAATGGCACCGCAGTGAAAGGCTTGCCTGAAGTCTGTAGGTGGGATGCTGAGATTCAAACACAGACTTCACTATCCCTTGCTACTGAAGGCCTTAGCCTTAGACATCACTATCCCTTGCTGCTATGAACTATGAACAAACATGCACTTTTTGGATGTTCTTCCTACGAGAATCCAGATGAAATCATAATATAGACAGCATACTGTCAAGCTGACTTGTTTCATGTTCGACCTTTTGTTCCGTTTTCGTTCACTCTTCCTCATGCGCTAATGTGCAGGCTGCCAGCCCAGAGAGTCTACGAGCAGCGAACGCAGAGGTGTCCTTTCCCGTTTGGCATGCTTATGCTACATACCTGAAGACCTGAAGTGACTTTCAGGGCATACCTGGCATTTCACAGCGCAGTTGTGAGGTTTTCTCTGATATGGCACATGTTTTTTGGAGGAATGGCCACATGTCCGTCGCCGACTTTGCTCTTTGGGAGCCTACCTTGGGGACCTTGTTGGTTGCTGTCCCTTGTGAAAAGCTAGTGCAGAGCGAACGGATTGGCGGACGCAAGCGTCATGAGCTTGATATTGTCTGACATTGTCTGAGGGCGAAGTGTTGGAAAGGGCATGGCACTGGATATTTGGCAAGATTCACAGCTTTGGCAAGATGCCACTGGATATTTGGCTGACTTCTATGTCAGTGTTTCACGAGTTTCTGCATTTTTGTAGCCTTTTCCAATCAGGCGAGGACGCTGTGCTGCCTTCTCGGGAGGCGAGGATGCAGAGTATTGTCTTTCAAAACTTCTGCTATGAGACAAGAATGTACAAGAAGCGTCTTATGATTCGCGTCAAAGCAACTGCATTTCACCCCGGTAGTAGAGACATTCTTCCTTGCGACTTGCAACCTGTTTGACATTTACTGCTTGTGAGGCTGACACCCGCTTGCCACTCTTCTTACGAATCCCGAGGCCTGTAGCTTCGCGGTGCCAAACACAACGCGGTGATTTCCAGATTTGAGGGCTGAAGTGGAAAACTGTGTCAATTTGCTGCGCACAGAAGCACTCAACGGACTGCTCAGGGTTCGTAGCGATGCTGAAGGTGGTCCCAGAGGTGGTGAGTTGAGTCAGACCACTGGGTTCATAGACTGGTTTCCAAAAGTAAGCGCCTGGAGGTACTATGCTGGACCGTGTTTCAGTCCCAGACTGGGGCTTTGATCCAGGCTTCTGGGGTTTGCCTCAGATCATTGCCAACGTGACGGGTGAGGCCAGTCTGTTGTTCATAGTGCCGTGCCAGTCTGTTGTTCGTCGTCGTTTCGTGTAGTGTAGTCTTGAGAGGCAACCACGCATTCTGTCTCGGCCATCCCCACGGCACATTTTGCAAGGAGTGGTGGGGTTTGCAAAGAAAGGCCGAACAAGAGAAGTTACAATGGGGATAGCTTTGTGGTGGGTCATTGCTTCAACCGCAAGGGCGCAACCCTGATGGGGAGGAACTTGGATGTTTGGACGTTTCAGAGAGGCTTGATACTCATGCATAGGACAGCAAGATCGAACTGGCACCTTCCTGAATGGGCTCAGCGGTGGCTGGAACATGATGCAGAACATAAACAAGCCCGCTCCATCTCTTTCAATCAAGAGGCAGCACATGTGCGGTTGTTGCTTTCTGCACTGCAGAGGGCCTTTAATTCTGTGATTGGATCACCGCCGCAATCATCAAAGTCCACAGCTGTATGTGGCTATCTTGTGAAGTCTCATGGGCTTATTGTTTGCAAAGCTCACACGTGAACAAAACATGCAACGAAGAAGACATGTGATCACCTCGCAGCTAGATAGCTCTGAGACTGACGGACCCAGCATTGAAGCCCCAAGGCCAGCCTTTGCATCGCATTGAGTCCACATGTCATGTCGCATGCGTCGCATGTGTATGAGAAGCACAATTGACATTGAGTGGTTAGCATGGTTACAGTCCTTCTTTGCCGGAGTCTCAGAATTTTTGTGACAGCTTCAAAATCTTCAAATTTCTGCCAACAGTTTTGCATCCCAGCCCAGGTGCTGCTAAAAACTTGACAGAATGCAGGCTCGCCTACCAAGTCACAGTGTTTTCTGCTGCCTTTGATTCCTGTTGCTATTGGTCCGCTTTCTATTTGCATGTCTTGGATGATGTCGCTTTGTTCTGTAGAGATTCTGCAATTATAACAATTGAAGCGCAAAACCAAATTCACACTTCAAGGCACGCACCATATCAAGGGATTGCCGAACCAGCTGCACCACGCAGTAGTCCTTGATTTGATAGCTGTTTTAGAGTCAACATTTTTGGAGACGGACACATGACATAATATCGACTTACAAGCAGAGCCACTGAGTCACCATAGATGGCATTTTTGAGGCTCACCGCGGCTTGTGTCCCCCAAAAAGAAGCAAGACCTATGCCAATCCCTTTGTCAGAGCCAGATGGTGCGACCAGCACGGCCGGCGTGGCTGGCGCGGCTCCCGTGGTGTCCCTCTTGTCGCAAAAGGTGAAAGCTGGCAACGAGCATGTGAAAGGCACTGCAAAAAGAAGTGAAATGCATGACATGTTTGTTGACATGATTGTTGGTGGATTTGCATATTGTATTGAGCTATAAGACATTCTAAAAACCATCCTGCAAAATACACATCCACATATTTCCAATCAATTCCACATGGCCTGCCGAAAGGCCTCGTGGCTAACTTGTGGCGCTCACGAGAGGATGGAGACTTTGTTTTCAATGTTTGTGGAGGTTCCTTGAGAGCTCACGGATGTATTTTGTCTGCTGCATCCCCGGTCTTTAAAGCCATGCTGTCCAGCGGAATGTCAGAGGGCCTTACCTCCTCTGTGTCTGTGGATGCGGATCCGTCGGAGTTGCTGGCGATGCTTCGCTTCATTTACTTGGGCGAGTTGGATGCCACCGGACAGCAGCTTCCAGGCAGAAACATGGCAAAAGGTTGGCAAACTGGCCCCTAGTAGCTTCTTGTTACTAATTAGTGGCGATGCCAGGAGCCCCTAGTAGCTTCTTGTTCTTGGTGTTTTGAAGATGATGGAAGAATGATATGACCCTGCCAGGTGTCTTGGAGCTAGCTCACAAGTACGAGGTGCTGAACCTCATACCTCCGGTGTGTGAAGCAATGATTGATCAGTTGACCACTGACAATGCGGTCTCCTACGTACGTGTGTTGCGTCTGCTTGAGGGCGTGCCGTGTGAGTCCGATAGGGAGGAGACTGTTAAGGAATCCGCCGTGCAAGCTTGGATGGCACTCCCTGGCACTGAGACCCTCCCAAGTGTTCCACCTGCCAACCGTGTGACCTGCACGGGACTATCACAACCAGTGCAGCCTGTGGAGGCGTTTTCATGGCGTTTCCACGTTTTGCTTTGAGCCGCTTTAAGGAACAGTCATGTCTTCAGCTGAACGGAATGGCTGCATCTATGGGCGTAAATGTGCTTTCAGTATGTTAGATGCATGCACTTTCTGCTTGCAGCATGAATCCTCCACTTTACGACCGTGTCATACCTGCGAGGCAGTCCTCTCCAAAGAGCAGCCTGCACTCGCCGAACCACCACCCACTCCTACAGGACCGGGTCGTTTGGCTTTGCCAAAGAGACAATTGAATACAATTGAATTGATTTACCTAGTTTTCAATGACACCATCTTGGAACGCCCATACCGCCCTGAAGTATGCATGGCACGACAAGAAAGTGGAAGATGGACAATCGTACTATAGCTGGAGGTCACTCAAACAGCAAGACTCAACTGATGTCTTGCCTTTGGTTTTTTGGAGTCTCTCGAGAGTTTGACGCAGCACATCGCAGCACCCATTTTTGTGTGTGCAACAGGAGACGAGAGAGTCTTTGAGGCATCTCCGACTCTACGATGCAAGGTTTTCTTGGGGGTTCAAGCCAAGCTTGCTCAGCAAGCACTGGTCATTTTTCCTACCAGCCAGCCTGATTTTACTTGTCCATCTATCTAATCTCCAAGGTGCAAACGTTTATTTGACATTGCAAGTGATCCGGATAAGGATTGCCAAAGCTTTCAGAGCAGTTGGCAGGAAGCGACTTGGCTGTGTATGGGGGATGCAGCAATCTTTTAGCTGGGGGCCTTATCATGTTTTTCGATGGTTCTGTTAGCGATTTCTGATTTGTCCTCGTACCAAGTACGACATTTATCAATCGTTTGGGTGCTCTTGGAGAATCCAGGATTGCCGGTGACCCTGAGCTCTTGATGGCAACCTTGAGATCGTTGTGACCTGATTACCAGATTTCTATGTTTCACTGCTTTAGTCAAGAAGCGTCTGAAAGAGTCCGATGCTTGATCGAAAAACTCGCTCTTGTCCCAAAAGGATCAAAAAGAAGAGCTCGGTGTCCACTGAGTCCCACTGCCTGCTTACCAAGCTGCAGGCTGCGCGGGCTGCTTCTATCGAACGGTTTGTGGATAGGGTGCTGCTGAACGCGAAGACGAACCTGGCTGCAGGCAGTGTTTGGGTTTGAGCGGAGCAAAGCATGTTCCTATGAGCACAGGTATTAGAAAGGACCATATTAGCATATAGTTGCCAGCTAAAGACCACGTCTGAATCTGTAGTGCATTCCACAGAATTGAACAGCGAGAGGTTAGGTACCGAGGGGCTTTGCCAAGCTTAGCGCATCATTTGTGCTGCTTGAAATGGAAAGACAAAACGAAAGCAAACGCTAAGCAGCACAAATGTTAAGCAGGGTAAGGGATTGATATGAAACACTGGTCCTTGTCCATCAGGCCAAGTACCAGCGAGTTCGGGCAAGCATGTGAGCCGAAGGCCTTCAGTGGAGGGATAGATGAAGAACAGCAAGAGGCAGTTGGTCTTCCTTTTGTTTTCTCCAGATGTTTAGGGCAATTTGCGCTACCTGCAAGCCTACAAGCATAGACATGTCAAGTCTAGAGTATTCTTGGCGCCAACTATGCCCAAAACGAGTTTAAACCCATGATTCGCTTCTTTCTCAAGATCAGGGAACCACGGGAAGCACGGGAACCACTGCCTTCCATTCCTGAGCAGCCTGTGCAAAGCCTGAGCCTTTTTGTGCGTCACGTTGTCCTGTGGAAATGCATTGTTTTGGTCTCCATAGCCAATTGTTTCACCAAGATTTGCCCATGGAATGGTGAAACCATCCGAGGCCGTGGCGATGGGGTTCAGGAGTTTGTGTCCCGTGTGTGCTGCCCCTACTGTCTCATGCCTTTAAAGATACGCTTGAGTCTGCAGATTGTGCGATTGCATACTTGGCAAACACCTCTCACGCTCTGGGTAACCAGAAGCTTCAGGCTAGACCACGCTGCGGAACATGTCCGCTCCAGTACTGGACCGAGCCTCTATCAGAAAGGCTTTCTGTAGTAGAAGGGATCCCATCCACTTTCAAGCTGGCCAAATAAATCACTGGGCATGGTTAGCCACTTTCATGGCACCTTGAAGACTCCACTCCTGATGATGTGGTTGTCTTTGTTGAGGTTCCTCATCATGCAATGGAGTGCTCAAGGAGTTAGCGGATGGGATGCATAGGATGCCACCGATGAAAACGAGTATCTCTATTGTCTATTGGAGATCAACCTCCAATCAGATTGGAGATCAATGTGGCTTGACAGGAGCCTGGTGTCCTGTCGAAACCTCAAAGATATTCAACGATTGGAGGAATGGAACATAATTTTTGAAGGCTCCCGCCAGACTGGCTTGAAGGCTCCTCGGTCTATGGATGTTGCGGGGACACTTTTTGACACCTTCCAAGGCCTCCACGGCCTCCATCTCAACCTGAGCCTGGTTCTCCCAGCTCACCCATTTTTGTGCGAGCCTTGTAAGCTGCACTGCCCTGACTTTGATTCGATGCATAAGAAACACAGTTGTGGAGTTGCAGCGAATTACAACACTTTCAACGTGTTATGAAAGCTTTCTCTCGACTGAACTTTCCTCTTGACCTTTGTTTTCGCTGCTGAGGCCTTGGCGACTGCTGATACTTCGGAGGAGGGCGCCTCTCTGTTGTCTTCGTCAAGATCTCAGAGAGCTCAGCTCCCTTCGAGAGAATGGCACAGATGTCTCGAAGGCCCTGGCCTTCCAGCTTGGAGATGTCAGGATGGGTGGAGGGCGTAATCGAAACCTTGACCCCAGAGAAGAGTTGTCGCGCCGTGTGGTCAGAGATAAGACTATATATATATAAAATGCTTGCAAACTTTTAAAAGCAGAACAACTCGAAAGGTATGTTCCAGATGGTCCCCAGTCAAGACTTTGCCAGCCAAGTCGAAGTTGCGGCAGGTCGAAGCGGCTTCCAGTCTTCGCTTCACTCGATACATGTACAGATTCAATACCATTGCCGGTGGCTCAAGAACTCCGACCTAGGTACGACACAAGGCACTTCATGTGACACAAGCATAGAGGAAAAGGACCGCGTTGCACTCAGCTTTGTTTTCCTTACTTTCACCCACTGTTTCAGGTTCCTTAGGGCACCTTATTTTTCAGTTGGTAGCGGGGCCGGTAACCCGGCTGTAGGCTAGCTTTTGGGGTTAGGACCACCTGACTTGGTTGATCACTTTCCCATCTAAGACCACTACACTATCCCTATCGGACCACCCCATAGGCCAGCCTCCTTTTTGTCGACCGCGGATCCCGGCATGTTGTCCGTCGCAATGAAGACGATGTTAGCCTGTCTGTTGGTGCTCGCTGTCGGTCTGAACTTTGACTGGGTTTTGGTGACGAAAACGGACCAGGTGCCAATCAAGCCGTTCAGGCCGGCAGTGGGCATCACAGAGGACACATTGTCCCGAGCATTGGAAGAGACTGGCGAAGGTCAGATGATTTTGAGGAGCACGGGCGGCTTTGCTGGCGAAGGTTCATTTGACAACAGTTCATTTGAGTTTCGGAGCCATTCGAGATCCAGGGGCTATGAGAAGTCCAGGAGCTACCATTTGACACGATTGCCCATCCACTTTAATCGGCGCAAAGCAGAGTTGATTGAGCGGAGACGGCGGGGGGCTATTCGTGTCCAGTTGCATGCATTGAATGCGTCGCGGACAGAGCATCGCATTCGACATCGTCGTATCGTGCATGATGTTCAATTGCTCGTCATTCATGAAGGGGCGAAAGGGGTGAACACAACTTTGATTCATTTCCCAAACCTGAAGGGTTTGAATTTGTTCTTGGATGTGTTCTGTCCCCATTACCAATCCCTCCCACTACCCATGTGGGGCCACAAGGGTGACCAGTTGAAAAGAGAGGTGAACAACAAATCCTCCTCGATTGGAAACCATTGCATGTACCATGAATTTAACAGCACAGTCTTGCATGATCCGGCCGTGGTACTTAAGGCTAGTCGCCACCTGATTGATCTCAGACCGGCCGGTGTATCCCCGAAGACTAGGTCTACTGCAAGTAAGATTGTCTTCGCATGTATTCCGGTGTGCATCACAAGTGCGATCTGCTTCATGCTTCCGGCACGGCAGCAGGGCCGCCTTCCCCCGCAGTGGGGCCCGGAGAGAGAGGCGACATATTCGTTTGCAGATTGGTCAAGGGATATTCTTCTTTGGACCATCATGAGCGATTGGGATCCCTCCCGGAAATGCGCGGCTATTCTGTCCCAGTTGACTGGTGGAGCACAAGAGTTTGCGAGGCAACTTCCACCCACCATCATCATTGCTGGAGGAACGATCAACGGCGTTCAAGTGGACCCAACCACATATGTGATGCACGAATTGGCGACCAGATTCGGTAGGATGTCGGAGGAGATTAGGTTGGAATCACTCGGTAAGCTTTTTGACTTCCGAGCACGCCCAGGCGAGAAGGTGGACACCCTCTTAGAGAGGTTTGACGTTGTGCGCACTCCTGCTGCTGAGCAGGGCCGGCTCACGGTATCGTGGGAGGGGCTGTCATGGCTCCTTCTCCGAGCCATTAGCGTATCAGACAATCAACTGGTTCAGCTTTTGGCTCCTTACCAGGGGCAAATGCCGAGCACTCGTGAGCAATTCGAGCAGATGCGCACCAGCATTCGCCGCATGGGCCATATCCTCGAATGTTCGCCCGGAAACGTCGCACAAGCGCTTCGAGGTCGGGATTCCACCACAGCTCACCAATATGCTGTTCTCCCCCAAGAAGAACATGATGTTGAAGGGCCAGCCTGGTCAGAACATGATCCCTATGCCACCACCCATTGGACATCTCAGGACAATCGTCCCATGCACCAGCAATCCCATCCTTCCCACTCATATCCCTTCCCTTCGTTTGAGAATGTGGATAGCGGCACTGATAGTGATACAAGTTCAGATGATGGAGATGCATGGGGTCCTGATCCACAATCCATGAGCCCCGAAGATATCGATTCGCAAGCGCAGGAACTGTTTTGGGCTTATTCGAAGGCAAAGAAGCAGTGGCGTTCCTTCATGGGTAAGCCAACCAGACGTGTTCGTAGGTTCTTGCGAAAACGATTCAAGGGAAAGGGCAAGGGTAAAGGTAAAGGCAAAAACAACCGAACCCGGAGTCATTTCGTCTACCAGTACTGTTTTGATGGTCACACCAGATTTGCAGGGTCCCGATGCCGGTAGCAGCAGTAACAATAGTTGGTTCCAAGTTGATCCATGGCAGAGCGCACAGCTCCCGTCAGCGCCACCTCAGATGTCGGCAGCACAGGCTTGGGCAGGATATCAGCCAGACGAGCTAAGGTATCCTTCAGGCAGGCCAACAGTGTATGGACCGACCAGGACGAACACGCCGAGCCCAGTCCCGTCGGACAATGTTTCATCACGATTGCCAGCTTGGTTGAATAGGTTTGTTCAGGCCAGTTCACGTTCCCGAGAGCCCCAAGGTCATGTTCAAGAATCACTTGAACCACCTGTACACCATCCACCAATGCCTGAGGTTCAATATCAAGTTTTGAATCCAAGCCCAGTATATCAGCATCCTTTCCCCGTAGGCCCGCAGCAGATCCAGTTCACCACTCCTGCGCCCGAGATTCCCCCATGGATCCATTTCCCTGGAATGGAGTTCTTGCACGGGGTACAATATGCTAATCCCGAGTTCATTAGTCCATATGGAAGTCATGCCGAGCATTCCGATCTCGATTCAACTACTCAGAGACAGATCGTAGCTTTCTATGATGTTGGACGTATGTACACCGCTCGCCAGTCGGAGCGCGATTCAGTGCAGTCAGGTGTGGGAACCGTTGAATCCGATCAGCTGAGGCGGAACGAGGTCCATCGCTGGTACGAGGTTGCGCAGGGCCTGCATCAGCGAGCGTCCAGGGCTCGCGAGAGGGAGCGGGAGGATTCGAGGCCTGAGGCTCATCAGGTTCCACTTCCGGAGGAGGACGGAGACGAACTTGAGACCTGCCACAACCCA